CCACACGGTACATGAAGTCGGCGTATCTTGGCAGGATGTGCTCGGGTTGGCGGTACTCGACTGCTGCATTTACCATGGCCGGCGTGGCATAGTGGTCGTCGGGGAGCTGCAGATATCTCGTAGGAAGGAGGCACTGGGCCGCGACGTCGTGTCGGCGTCGACAAGCGTGGCGAGTCGTAGCCGTAGCCAGCGGCATCACCGTGCCGGCAAAGCACATGCGCCACGCGGGCGGGCCCGGCGAGGGTGCGTTGGCCTGTGGCGGCGCAGGAGCGAGACAGTCGGTCGCTCGGGGGCATAATCCAGAGCACGCCCCTCACTCGGACTTGAATCGACTTTTGCCCTAGAGAAGGCATGAAAGGTGTCCACTCCCACCAAAGCGCCCGTACCGCTACGACGACTCGATCGGCGAAGCTGAGTTTCCTCGACGGGGATGCTACTAGTACGAGCAGAGCTGAAGTCGTTCTCTAGACAGCGGCATTGTTTCACTGTTATGCACCGAGACCAATACACTTACGATCTTGTCCTCGTTTCCGCTTTGCCATGCGCTCAACGCGACTAGTCATCGCAACAACGACCTCTTGAGCAAATGCACCAACATGCATCGGTTGCGACGTCTAAAAATATACCACATCGAGCGTAAGGATGTAAAAAGTACCGCTGGGACGCAGATTCGAACCCGCGCTCATTAGCTGACGCCACGGCATCGGCAGTGCTGTCCCACTAAGCCACATGCTCGCTTATTCGTGAGTAAAGCCGTTTGCCAACGATCCACCTGCGCTACTAACGTCGCACAATAAAATACTCTTCTCGGTGGTTTTGGCCGTATTTTTATTCACGGCGAGACGCCGCTCAGTGCATACTCAGTTCAATATAAAAATCTGTCGCATTTCGCCAAAAACGGTTTTTGAAATGGGCGATTATCGCCCAAAAACCTTCGTCGCGGGAGGGTTAACAACGAACTATGTAGGCACCATCGTTCCTGACGGACGATACCTGTTTTACGCGGGAGGAAAAGTGGGCTCCAACCTCAGGTCGTAGCTGTTTTCCCTGTGGCACGGTCTCGGTCCAACGAGCCGTTCGGAAGCTTTTGTACAAACGACCGCGCTCGCAAACCAGTGCTGTGTCTCAGAGCTGTCGTTCCAGATGCTCCGCATCATCAGGATGTGCGGCCATCAGCGCTACGCAAAGACCAGATGCGGTCCTTTCTTTGTAATATGTCACGCGCCGTTCGATCGACCCCATTTCGCGGTATCCACCGAGTCCGCAAGCAATCTGCTTGGATCGACGACATCAGAACATGCGACGCCTACCACTGTAGGGACGCATAGCGTACACACTACGCGCAGAATGCATTACCGCAGCACCCGGTACGTCACGGAACGCGTTTCGGCCAAAACAGCTTGTCGCGTCTGAGGCAGGTCTACTCGCCAACACGCACAACAGTGTTGGGCATGGTCACATTTGCTTTTACTAGCTACGACCCATGAAGCCGATTCTTGTTTTGCTCGCGCTGCTCCCTCTTGCGACGATGGCCAAGACGGTGCCGGACTGGCAAGTGTGCAACTCGACCACGGACACGTGTGCGTCCAAGGGCTGGGTCTGCTGCGTCGCCGCCGACACTCCCCACTCGAAAACCAAAACGTGTCGCTCGGGTGCCTCGCAGTGCCTCTCGTCAGTCCCCAAGTCGTTTGCGGGTGCCAACAGCTACTTCCTCCACACGCTCGTCGATAGCGACCGGCGCGAGGTCCTCGACAAGCTCAAGGCAAGCGGCTTCAAGACCGTGCGTATCTTCCTCTCGCGGACCGGCGCCAACACCAAAGGCGCCAAGAACGTCGGCGTCAACGACGTCGAGAACCCCGTCGGCCAGTACGACGACTCGATCCTCTCGCTCGTGGACAAGCTCATTCGCGACTGCTACGACCGCAACATGAAGCTTATCATTGCGTTCCACGACCGCTGGTCGCTCGGGTGCTGGGACACGGACGCGTATGTGACCAAGTACAACCTGCCGACGACGACGAGTTGCCAGCAGCACGCCAACATCGCCAACGACTTTTACACGCGCGGCGACGCCCAGGCCGACTTTGACAACCGCATCCAGCACATCTTGGCGCACCGCAACCCGTACCTCAACAACCGTCCGTGGAGCGAGCTCTCGGAGGCCATTTTGGGGTTCGAGCCGCAGAACGAGTCGCAAGGCGGTCTCGAGAGCGGCATTACGATGCCCAACCCGCAGTGGCTCTGCAACCGCGCCAAGACGATCCGGAACGCCGTGTCCAACCGCAAGATCCTCGTCATGTCGGGCGGCGGCACCAACTACGGCGTGTCGCAGCTCTCCGAGTACTTTCGCTGCCCGGCGCTCGACGTGGTCGCGATCCACTCGTACGAAGGCGCGAACGCCGACAAGCTCAAGGCTGCCGTGCAGCTCGCCAACGTGCACAAGAAGCGCGTCCTCTTTGAAGAGTTTGGCGCCTCGGGAAGCAACAAGGCCAGCGGCCTCGCGGCGTACACGGCCGCGGCCAACGCGGCGGGCGTGCCGTGGATGGTGTGGCAGGTGCTCAAGCCGAGCAACCACGGCGACTTTGAAACGTGGACGGACGAGAAGGACGCGTGGGCCGCGCTCACGAATGCGGCGCGCCAATCGAACGCGCGCAAGGGGGCGTGGTCGTGGCCCGAACTCAACAAGTAGGATGACTACGGATGGATCTTTGACACGTGTCCGAGTATGAAGATTGAAATCGGATCGCTAACAGTGCACCAAGTAAACTCGCAGAATGCTTTGTTGAGGGCGCTGCCACGTCACATGTGGTCACACCGACATCTTGGAGATTGGATCCAATCATATTCTTCCTATTCCGAATACGTTCGCTGTAATCCGTATGGACCCACTCAATAATAGTTGGAGCTTCGTGCGTGTTCCGGCGAAACACCAAACTCCAGTGGTCAAAATGGTTGATTGGCGATCCTGCGCGTTCGCGTCCCTTCGCTACTTCTTGTGGCTTCATATTCCACCAATCAGAGCGCGTTATGGCACCAATAGAATTTTTTGATTGCGCACCAAGTTGCCGTTTGGGGAGCTTGAACCGGTGATCTCGTAGTTTCCAACAAGCATCCACGGACCATGCAAGCGCTGCTCTGGGACATGGACGGCGTCCTCGCCGAGGTCTCGCGCTCGTACCGCGCCGCGATCCTTCAGACAGCGGCGGCCTTTGGTGCGACCATCACGGACGCCGACGTCGAGGCGGCCAAGCTCGCAGGCGACGCTAACAACGACTGGGTCCTCACACACCGTCTCGTGCACACCACGTTGCCATCGAGCACGGTGACACTCGCCGAGATTACGGCCAAGTTTGAAGAGATCTACCAGGGCACGGCGACAACGCCGGGTCTCTGCAGCCTCGAGACGCTCATCACCACCAAAGGTCTCCTCCTCGAGCTCCACCGGCGACTGCCCAAGGGCATGGCCATCGTCACCGGACGCCCGCGCAAGGACTGCGACAAGTTTCTACGCGACCACGCGTACGTGACTATTCTATATCTTTCGACTGTATGTGCTCACGATGGTGTGTCCTAGCCTCGAGGCCCTCTTTCCTGTTCGCGTCTGTATGGAAGACTGCCCGCCCAAGCCGTCGCCGGCGCCGATCCTTCTCGCGTTGCAGCAAATGAACGTGGCGGCGTGCGAAGCAACCATGCTCGGGGATACCGTCGACGACATTACCGCTGCGGTGCGCGCCTCGGTCCTTGCCTACGGCGTGCTTACGCCGGGGGCCTACGCAACCTCGGTCCTCACGCACACTGCGGCACCCATTACGAACAAGCTTTTGGCCGTCGGCGCCAAGAAGGTGCTTCGTCCGGGCTGCGACGAGCTTCTCGACGAAATCCCGCTTCAGGCCGCGCGGACCTTCTCGGCGCACCGCATTGGCACGATCCGCCGACAAACGAAGGAGACGTCGATCGATGTCGTGCTCAACCTCGACGGCAACGGGTCGTCCAACATTAGCACTGGCATTGGCTTCCTCGACCACATGCTGGACGCGGTCGCCAAGCATGGCCGCTTCAACCTCGAGCTCACGTGCAAGGGCGACACGTGGATCGATGACCACCATACCGCCGAAGACTGCGGCCTCGCGCTCGGAGAGGCCCTCGACAGCGCGCTCGGCCCGCGCCAGGACATCGCCCGCTTTGGGTCGGCGCTCGTTCCGCTCGACGAGGCACTGGCCCGCGTCATTGTCGACATTTCCAGCCGCGGCTGCAGTGCCGTCGCACTCGATTTGCGCCGACCGAGCATCGGGACGCTCTCGACCGAAATGATTTCGCATTTCTTCGTGTCGTTTGCCAGCGCCGCGCGCCTTACGTTGCACGTGGACGTGATCAAGGGCGAGAACGACCACCACAAGGCCGAAGCCGCCTTCAAAGCCTTTGCCCGCGCCTTGCGACAGGCCGTCGCCTTTGACCCGACCGCCGGGGTGCCCAGTACAAAAGGCATGCTCGCCTAGTTTATATTTCACACGAGTTGTACGCGACCTCAACGACTATTGTTTTAGACCCTCGAAATGGTCGGTTTGTCCTTGGCAGACAATGTGTTCTTGCTCGCTACAGTGCTAATATCAAGGATATTTATGGCCTTGCTAATATGTACAAGTCGAAACACCTCATATTGCTTTAAAGCCGACACGCAGCAATCGCTGGACGCTTACATACCACTACACGTACCAAGGGAAACAATGATTTCCATTGATACGTACTAGTACACATGCCGGTGGCATTTCGATAGGACTGACAAAAATGAACATATAAACATATATAAACATATTTAATGATGGAAATTGAAGATCTTGACGGTGGTGTCGGCCGACCCCGAGATGATCTTGGTCGCGTCTGCTTGGAGCGCAAAGACGGCCGACGAGTGGCCTTGTACGGACGTGACGGGCGCTGCAAATTGGCGAACGTCCCAGCATTTGATGGTCATATCGTACGAGCCCGAGACGACCGTATGATCGCCGATCTGCTCAACACACATGACAGCCCCCGAGTGGCCGTGCAGCGTGTGCGTGCAGGAGCTGTCCCGTCGGTCCCATAGCTTGACGGTCGCGTCCGAGCCTCCCGAGAGCACGGTCGTGGCATCGGCCTACGTTCTTATGTCGCAACGCCCTGTGTCAGGGTATTAGCGACGTACTTTGATTCCGTTGACTTGGTTGCCGCGGACGTGGCCGGTGAACGTCTGTGTGCACTGACCCGACTCGACGTCGTAGACTTGGATGCCGTGGCTGCGACAGCCGGCGACGATGGCGTTCGTTTGTGGTTCCCACTATCCCCATTCAGTATCAATATTGTATCCAGCCGATCACGACGGTCGGCACCTTGAGGCAGTAGATCGGGTTGGCTGGGACGTCCAAAAGCGTTCGGAGGAGCTCGCCCGAGTCGGCGTCCCATAGATTGATACACGAGTCCCAGCTGCCGCTGGCGATCTTGCCAGCGTGCATGTCCAGGCTGCTCACCCAACCGGTATGGGCGCGAAGCGTGCGCACGCAGCTTCCCGTCTATCTCACGTGGCGACCTCTCTCTGAATCAGTCGTACATACCTGGAGGTTCCAGAGCTTGACGGTTTTGTCGTACGAGCCGCTCACCAGCGTGTGGTTGCCATACATGTGGAGAGCCCAGACGGGACCGCCGTGGCCGTAAAACGAGTGCAGCTTGTGCACCGTTCGCGTCTGCGCAAGCGATTCACTCTCACTTGACGGTTGACATATTTGGCTCGTACCTGGCGGTGATGTTGCTGCGCCAGCATGGAAGGGGGTAAAGCACTGACGCGGTCGAGGCCCGTTGGATCTACATTCTCCATGCTGAGCTGAGAGACAGATGATCGAATAGAGGGCACCTGTATCGGCATTGCTTCGGGACGCCGCAAGCGACCACAGCATGAGGCTTCCATCGTCCGAACCCGAAATCTACTTGGCATTGAGGTGTGTCGCTGCACGCGTCAAATCACGTACGAGCTGCATGTCGTCGAACTGGAGGCACGTCACGGTACCGGTGTGCCCACAGAGCGTTGTGATGACGGCTTTTCCAAGGCGCCAGTTTCTGTCGAGAAGGTATCTGTCGCGGTACAGATCGAGCCACGCGTGGTCCGAGGTTTGGTTCTCAAGGGGCGGCGGCTGGGGTCGCAGCAGCGTCAACCATTGACGCCAGTAGAGCGCTTCCCAGACGCTGTCGACCATGATCAAGGTAAACCACGACCGTTGTACGGCTGCAGCAGCGCACAAGCTCGCGCTGTCGAGGTAGCCAAAGATGCGGTGGGCCACGTCGTCGATGAGCCATATCGACTGGTGCTGCGACGGGAGATCGTGCCTACGCACCCAGTGGCCTCTACGGTCTCGAGATTCCTTGACCATATAATACGCACTGCTGCAACCGCGCTGTGGCTTCCTCGAGGTGCTTTCGACAGCGCGCAAAACTGATGTCCTTGGCTCGCAAGACGCACTGCCCATGGCGATGTCACAAGCGTGCCACGTAGAGGTCGGAGCAGGTACCTCGAGATGGCTCACTTTATCCTGCAACACCTTTTGGTTGGCCTCGAGCGTCTGCGCCTTGTGCACCATGGACGCTTTGAGGCTACGTCAGTCTCAGTTGGCATCGATGGCCTTTGAAAATGTACAATACCTCTTGTAGATGTGCTCGATCTGCTCGGCTTTCACGTTCAAGTCTTCCTTCATGACGGAGATAACGCCGCGGTAGAGCTCAACCTCTTGGAGCAGGTGGTCGTTCTCGCGGCGCAAGTCCCCATCGCTGCCTGCACTGGCCATGATGCAGCTCGAAGGACAATGCAGTTGCGCAGGTTTCGCTCTCGAATTTGTGTGCTGGGTGACTCCGATTGGTTGGATCGCAAGGACGACCGTTTCATTGGCTGAAATATACGGTGGCCACATACGCCGCCACGTCAGCACACGTGGCAAGACGGACAACTCTGTTTGCCTCCGCTTCGCTCGAGCCAGAAACAAGTGAATGGTACAATGGCGTGGACCGAATACGGTGATTTCTTCCTTAGTCCTGGTGAACCTTCTTCGCCAACCAACCCAACGGTCTATCAAACCGAGATAGAAGTCAGATCAACAGCATTCGAAACGAGACGTACGCGTCTAGCTTCCACAGCGCTGGCACCTTGGGAAACACAATGTAGGCTTCATAGTCGACGCTGAGTAACGAGCCATCGCCAAAGCGGCCAATCGGCTCGCGCGCCGGCACGCGCTCAAAGTTGTGGCCGCCGTGATTATTGAGCCACGAAAACCCGCTTGGTGGCAGTCGAAACACCTAAAGCGCAATTTGTCCTTGGGTGGCATGTTCAAAGCGCTGCGTACCTCGGTGACTTGATAGATCGTCGACGGCTTGGGCGGCCGCGGAGCCTCATCGACGGGCGCTGCAATGATGTTGGCTTCGTGCGACAGAACTGCAAGCACTGCCTGCGTGAGCGCGGCAACCTGCGACGTGTCGGCCGCAAGCCCGCTCTCGTAAATGAGCCCGACGCCTCCGCTGGCACCGACAAACTCGTCCGAGAGCGCGACCTTTCCCGCCAGCTTGTGTTGCGCGTCATGCAAAATGGTATCGCACGGGAACCACCTACCGTCATATATATCGACTAAGATCATAGCGTTGGCATATAGCACGAGTGTACTACCGGCAAACGTCATAGTGCACCGGCGAGAGCGAGCCCGCGAGCTTGAAGAAGGGCTCGGACGGCTTGTTGGTCGCATGCAAATCAAGCATGAGGTCGCTACTCTACGCACGCTTAGCGCAAACATGTCATGCAGCACGGGGCATACGCGCAGGTACGGCGCAAGTTCGCGAGCGCGCGTCTCTTCGTACAGGAAGGGCCCACGTGGGGCCGACGTCTCGACGTCCAGCGTGAAACAGCGGTTCAGATCGGCATGTGGCGTGCTGCCGCGGGCGCCAACCTCGATGGCCTTGGGGTTGCCCAGTATCAGCGTCAACGAGCCCGCAATCAACGGCGGACAGCGCTCTTTCAGCTGCTCGATCACGCGCACGCCGCTGAGCTCGTTGCCATGCACACCTAGCACCTTGCTTAGACAGACAGCGCGCGATAATGTGCTAGAGAGATACTATTACCTCCAAGAATAGTCACATGCTTGCCGACGCGCCGCGCCTTTGTCTGCCAAATGCAATGGCCGACTTCGACGAACGAAGCGACAGCCATCGTCGTCCCCTTCGACGCTAAATCCGAGATTGCGATTGCCCTTTCAGACCAAAAAAGGGTATCTCAATGCACTTTATAGACGTTTTCGGGTCATAACATGGGCATGTCGCTGCAGCTGCCATCGTCCGATGCGGCATCGTCGACGATAGGGACGCTGGACAATGGAAGATCATCTGCTGGAAACAACGGCGAGCTCAGCATGCGAACGACGGGGGCGCGCGACCGCTGGGCCAAAATGTCGGCAGCTGATGGACGCCGACGACGCTTGGGCGCTGCTGCCAACGGGGTGGGCTGCGGGACGCGCCTCGGCCGCACCAACGTCTGTGTCGGGCCCTCGCTAGGCGCTAGAATTGGCACGGGTGTTATCACTACTGGCGGTGGTGGAAGTGGCGTCGGTGGTTCAATCGTGACCCCTGCAGCAGGCTCGGGTAGCACGGGCACTGGAGGTAAGCTCATCGTATTTTCGCCGGTCGCATCGAGCGTGGCTTCCACGCGTGGCGTACCTACGCCTTCCCTCGAGGCCGTTTTTGGAGGCACCGGGCTCGGCTTCAAGGTTGGTAACGTGCTTGGCAAAAGCATCCGTGTAGGAAGGTCGGGCGGAGGCAGAAGCAGTACTTGGCCGCGCGCGATCGAGTCGGGTAGAATGCTAGTGACGACTGGTAGAGGTTGGAGTGCGTTGGCCATGTCTTGCAAGAGCCACGCCTCGGTTTGTGTGTCGGAGTCGATGATGTCGCCAAAGCAGTCACTACTGTCTTGACGTGGAAGGTCGACGAGGACGTCGTCGGGCTTTGGCACGACGCAGCAGTCGAAGGCCTCGACAAGCGCCACCATCGCAGATAGAAGCCGTGCGATTTCGCTCTCCACCAGCGCGCAATTGTTGGTCTTGGCTCCGCCTGCTTCGTTTGCGTCTTCTGAGATGGACGGCAACCGCTTAATACCAGAAGATGGTTCTTTGTCAGGCAGTAGCCCATCGACTGCGTCGGCGCTCATGTCGTGCTGATGCTGATTGATATACGGCTCGGGCTCTGTCAAAGCCGGGGGAACCAGTATCTCTGCATCGTTTATCGAAGGCGCCACGTCGTCTGGATTTGTTTGTTGCAGCGGATTGTCGCTGCACGGCGTTGGAACCTCCGGAGGCGGCTCGTTGGCGTGCTGCGCCGCGTCTTCCTCCGCGAGGCTTTTGATCCACGAGCCAAGGCGGTCGTCGTCAAGCTTGGGCTTGGTGTCGCCGCGAGGTTTCTTCTTCTTTCCAAAAGACTTTGATTTCTGGAGTTCGCGGGGACTGAGCAGCAGCGTCCGCAGCTCGATCATGGTACGCTTGAGAATCGCGATCCCAAGCAGCCCGAGCTACGCAGCACTTCACAATATTGCATCCTCGAGGCGCGGGCGTACGATGAGGCCGATCATGAGCGCGACCGCGGTAGTGATCCAGAGACTGTCAAGGTAAGAGACGAGGAAGAAGGTTGCGAGGAACTGGGTCATGGCCTACAGTCGACGCGACTTCACACACACACGTGTGTTGCTTCGGTCAAAGTACCAACGAGACGAGGAACACGGTAAGCGCGCAAAACATCACTGAGAGAATGATGAGAAAGAAGCTGTTGTAGAGGGCGTGGCATGCGACGCCTGCCTCACTCAAGCTCAGCTTGATGAGCTCGATCTTTTCGTCCAGCACATCGTTGGCGAGGTGCGTCAGCATCGCGAGCACATGGTTGTGCTCCTTCTTCGGGCTCGCTTTCGAGACGGCTCGAAGAAGACTGAAGAGGTCTTGGTGCTTGTCGTGCTCCTCCTACATCATCCCGTCATATCGCACCTTAGCAAGAACGAAGAAGCCTACGCTATGGCCCGCATGGACGGCGTTCTTGAGCACTTTGGCTGGGAGGTCGCCGCTCGGGTGGCTACCAAGGCGTCAGATCAACTTACATATTTCGTCGCAGCATGTACTCGTGGCTGAACATGTCGGCGAGCGTCTACAGCATGAACGAAGGACTTCCGCGTGATCACGGCGTGGAGCCGTGTACCTTGGCTTTTAGCAGAATGCCCTAGCATTGAATTTGTAAGACACGCATCACCACGGCACATGTACAGGTAGATCGGACGTTGTCGGCGCGTCAAGTAGCTACCACGCGGCGTCAATCTCGGCGTCCTTGTTTAAACGTACTCTGTTGAGCAGTGCGAGCTGTTGCATTGTCTCGACCGTCGGCGCTTGATGCGGTAATAGCCCGCGTAGCACCTCTTCCTTGAGTCCGAGGTGTTCCACAAGCGTCTAGAGCAACATCCTCTTGCTACATTTGATATCTGCATACTTTTACCTTGACGCGGTCGAGCTGTTGAGATGGCGGATGTCCCAGGAGCCCGTGTAGCTTGCGCTCGCACTCGGCAATGATCTCAGGTCCCTACATAGAACCGCTCTTTGGTCGCGTTAGCAGCACAAGACGACGGACCTGCTGCACAAGGAGATGCTTCTCAATCTCAAGTTCGCGCCAAATGTCCTGTTCCAGCCGCTTTTGAGTAGCATCCCATTTTTGATCCTTGTACCTCGATTGCAATGCGGGGCGCCAACGAGTCGGACGTGGCCGCCGGTAGAATCGACTTGATCGCGTCCAAAGGCACCCCTGCTGGTAGCCGCGAGGGTCCAACCTCGCTTGCTGCGTGGTGCCGAAGCGACGTGAGGCGGCCTGCATCCACCGGTAAGACGTGCTGGGCGGATGCTTTGGCTCGCTGGAGCGGACCCGCGACGGCCTCGATGAGCTCGGGGTTCAAAAGAATCGTGCGGTTGCTCGGGCTCCGCACGAACGGTGTCACCGACTTGATGGTCGACCACGCTTTCGCAAGCGACGTGCGGCGTGGCGGCGGCATGACTCCACCAATATTCCGAAACCGCTTAAAAAAGGCGTCATCGTTTTGTTACTCGAGTCGCTAGGCGTCCCATCGCGAGCGTTTCCGGCGCGGTCCTTCCTCGTCTGTGGGCTTGTCCGCAGCGTGCAAAATCGCCGGCACGGGCTTGGGGACGGTGGCCGACGCGGGCGTCGTCGCCGCCGGTGTCGTGCCCGGCGCCTCGTCGCGCGCTGGCCGAGGACTGTCTCTGGCGGCCCGGGCCGCCTCCCGCGCCGCCTCGCGCGCTGCATCGTGCTGGACCTTTAAGCGCTGGGCGGCCGCCATGGACTCGCGCACGCGCATGTCCGAGTCGCGTCGCTTGAGCATGGCTTCGTGGCGCCGCTTTTGTTCCCGCAGCCGGCGCTCGCTAAAGGTTTGAAACGCCAGCGCGGCTTTGGCGACCCGGCGCTCGACCGTCCAAATGTGCTTTTGCAGCGTAAATAGCGCTGCCGTGTCGCTGAGATCGAAGAAGGACCCGTAGTGCTTGGCGACCTATGCACGCGTCTCTGCACACAGCCAGTATACAAAGACGATATGTACCTTGAGCAGCGTCTCGTCCGTGAGCTGCTCGAGTTGGAGGCGCTCGGTCCACGCGGCGGCACGCGCATCCGTCGACGGCATCGCGTCCCACTCTTCAAGAAGCACTTGCTCGTCGTCCTTATCTTCGACGGCCTTGAGGCTCTTGCGGAGAAGGCTATAGTTAGGCGCGTCTCCGTACGCGAGCTCGGTCTCAAGGTACGTGGCAATCTTGAGCAGATGGCGAGCACCCGGCAGACCCTCCACGAGCTTCTCGGGATGCGTCTCCGAGTAGTACTCTTTGAGCTCGACGACGACTTCGCGGTTCTTCTTTTGCGCATCAAACGCCCACGGCAGCTCGCCGCGAATGAGGTCGAGCACAAGGTAGAACCATGAGATGAGGTCGTCACGCCGCCCGAGCTCCTCGCGCCGGTGCGCGCGGAGGGATGCGTACATGGACGTGCCGCGGAACTCGGCCTTCTCGCGCGCCGCAATGACAGCACCGTCCGGCGTCAGATGCTGCTTGGAGAGGCCAAAGTCGATGACAAAGTACTTTCTACAAGGCCATCGTCAGAGTCACTCAGTATAGAGAGAGCAGGCGGACTTGCTGGCAGCAGCGCCGTTTGAGAGCGCAAAGTTGGATGCCTTGATGTCGCGGTGGATGAAGCCAGCATTATGGAAGGACTCGAGGCAATCGAGCATTTGGATGCCCGCGGCGACGGCCTTCGAGAGCGGAACACCATGGGCCGCGTCGGGCGCGCCACGCAGTTTGGACATGTTGTCGCCAAGCAGCTCCATGATCAAGATAAAGTTGTCGCCGTGCTTGCCGTGGTGGTAGTACTTGCACACATACGGGCTGCGCTTCTGAAGCGCGACGAGTACTTGGCTCTCCCATTCGAGCACGGGCTTCATCTCGCTCGGCGCTTCGACCTTGACAGCGACCTTGAGCGCCGTGTTGGTGATGTCAAAGGCCGTAAAGATCTGGCTAAACGTGCCTTCGCCAATCTTCTCGAGCACCTTCCAGCGGCCCAAGAGTAGCTCGCCCGCCTAGACGCCATGTGAGCTCACGCCCATATGCAGGTACATGCAGATAGCCTGCATGGCCATGGAGCTGCCGCACCAAGAGGAGGTTCTTCTCTTCGTTCGTCTGCATGCTTGACCAAGGAATCGGGCCGAAGCGGAGCGCGAGGTCCGTGGGTGGCTCGGTTCACGCAATTAACAATAATAATACAATTCGACAGGTGTATAATATTATAATGGTTTCCAGAACAATGGCGAATTAACTGTATCGGATCCGCGAAATTAAAAACGAAATCTATTGTTTTTCGAACCTCCGCAACGCACTTGGACCCCGACCAGATAATGGCTGCCTTCAACCAATCATATTACGTTAAAGAAAGATCCTCGCATTGGATTCGCTCCTTCCAAATCTGCGTGTTTCTAGAATTTCTTGCGTGTGTAGCACAGAGCCCACGCAGCTCGCATTTCCGGCTGCTTTTCACACACCACGCTCCTCGCGCGGCCATGGCCTCTTCGCCGATCGCCAAGAAGCAGAAGCTGCGTACGCATGTCACGCCCAGGATCCCGATGACGGTAGAGATCTGCGATGGGCCCGAGGACGAGGCCATGCATCCGGACACGGTCCCGAAGCTCCGGGAGCTCGTCCGCAGCTGCCACGCGACCAACCAGCACCGCAGCGCGGTCTTTTTCGCCGGGAAGCTGGCGACGATGACACGAGACCCCGCCGACTGCATGCTTTTGGCGCAAAGCTACTACGCAACGGGCGACTTTCACGAAGCCATCCACTCGCTGCAAGGTCTTGTGGGGCAGCTGGACGCGGGCTCGCCGCGCGCCAAGCCATCGCGCTCGCCAGCCCACCGAACCATGTCGTTCTCGGACACGTCCATCTTGCATACGACCATGGACTATGACGAAGAGATCGTACTGCGCGCGTACCTGCTCTTGGGGCAATCGATGGTACGTGCAGCGCCATGTTGAACCCACGCGAGATACAGTGTCCAGGCTGCCGTCAAGCAGTGGGAAGACTGCCAAGAAATGCTCGAGGGCGTCCTCGGCGACGAAGAAACCACGATCTTGCGCAAGGCCGGAAGCCTCGCCTTTCCCGAGACGACGCAGATCAACGTCGTCGCCTCCATGTGCTGTCTCCGCGGCGAAGTGTGCGAAGCGCTCGAGAGTCGCGAGCGGGCAAGTTACTGGTACCGCCTCGCGCTGCAGTGCGACGTTCACTGCGCCGACGTACGACGAGGCCAACCTCTTCGATACTGATTCCGCACGGATAGGCGTTCACACACCTCGTTGAAAAGCACATGCTATCGTCGTCGCAGGAGCGCCGCATGCTTGATGCCCTCCACTTTCGCCTGCCCCATGATGCGTACCTCAAGGCGCTCTACACCGCGCAGCTGGGCCGAGTAACCGCATCGCACGCAAATCGAGAGAACTCAAAATGGCCTTAGTACGACCACGCGCCTGCGATCGCAGACAAGTTCCGTCCGTTGGAAGAGGTCTTTGGGCTCGCAGACAACGTTGACGTCGTACGTACAACATTGGTGGCTACACACCAATCTATCAATGTATCAATGTAGGTCGTCGCCAAGGCCGAAGCGTACTTTTACCAGCACAACACGGAGAAGGCCTACCAGCTCTGCAAATGGTTTCGTCCGTTCTATACTATTCTCCTCAGCCGAGGGTAGGGTCCGCGAGCGCGACCCGTTCCACTACCAGTGCATCGCCGTGTTCGTTGCGACGCTCGTGCAGCTCGAGCGCAAGAGCGAGCTCTTCCACTTTGCCCACCAAATGGTCGACTCCCCTAGTGTTTTGACGGACAAGAATGGATTCAACTTTCGTAGGTCGACATGTCGTGGTACACCGTTGGCTGCTACTACGTACTCGTCAAGAAATTCGACACAGCCCAACGCTACTTTCAGTACCCACACCTTTTTTCGTGTCCGATGTATAATCCCCTTTTAGCAAAGCCACGAACCTCGAGCCGCAGTTTGCGCCGGCGTGGATCGGGTTTGGCAACGTCTTTGCCATGCAGGTGGCGACGTGTGTCTTGTGCTTGGCTTGACATCTGGATAGGACGAGAGCGACCAAGCCATGTCGTCGTACCGCACGGCGACGCGCCTCCTGCTCGGGTGCCACGTGCCCCTGCTCTGCATTGGCATGGAGCACTATCGCACCAACAACCTTGCGCTGGCGTCCCATTTTGTGCACCAGGCGTGCGACGCGTGTCCGTCCGACCCGCTCGTGTACAACGAGCTCGGTGCGATTTGCTTTCGACAGCGCGAGTACAAGGACGCGGTTGGCCACTTTACAAAAGCCATTGCGCTCTGCCAACACTTTTCCCAGGTAGACCCGATATCATTGTCGTCACTGCGTGCAGAAGAGGATACGCAGACGCGCCTTGTCGCATGGGAAGCCACGTTCTTTAACCTCGCCCAAGCCTACCGCAAGCTCGAGTCTCGAATGCGCTCCATAGTCTACCGTTTGACATGGTTTGAATAGACAATACGACGCGGCGATTGCAAACTACGAGCGCGCACTGAGCTTGTGTCCGCGAAAAGCGTCGACGCACTTTGCACTTGGGTTTACGTACCACTTGGGCGGCCGCTTGGACGAAGCCATCCAGTGCTACCACACGGTCCACATTTTTCAACTACCAGATATATCTGGTACGATTGTAGGCCTTGAGTTATGACCCCGAAGACCCGATCGCGATTCAGACGCTTGACGATGCGCTCCAAGATTTGTTTGCAAGCGCCGACTTGAACCAACCGGCGCCAAACGACGTCAAAGAGACAAGCGCTTTGATCCAGGAGAACGACGTTAGCATTAGCATGGACATTTCAACCGAGAGTATGGACCTCTAACGACCCAAGCAGTTGGAGGATATCCTCGCCTCTCATTAGACTTTTCCCATTGGCGACGTCTCTGACTCTTTAGTTGACAAATACTCCGACGACAGCGGCGCTTGAAGAGTCCGTCGGTGGATGATGTGCTATCACGTACCAGTGCTGCCGCCAAGACGGACCGAATCTTCGGACGAGTAACATGCATTGGCCGCGGCGACGTACAGCGACGCGACTCTCGCCATCGACATGTCGTTGGCGCGTGCTGCACTCAACAAGAACGTGGCAAGGTCCAGTCTCGTGCCCTCTGTCAATGGGTGCTAGAGGAAGGTTGCGGCTCTACCGACACTGTGGATGGTTGCATTACTCTTAGAAACCGACGAGCGAGAAGAGCGCGATGAACGTGACGATGAACGTAATGCCGAGGAAGACAGTCGAGAACTCGAGGGAGCTGACGATCGGGAGGTCGAAGGGTGTCGCGGCGGCCTCGAGATTGCCGTAGACACGGCGGAAGAACTTGGTGCCAATGACTTGGAACCACGCGGGGATGATAAGGCCGAGAGCAAAGCCAAAGAAGCCCGCGAACGTAAAGATGGCGTCGAGCTTCTTGAAGAGCGTCGCGAGCACGAGCGGCGGGATGGCCGCAATGAGGCGCGAGAGGTTGCGCGCGCCGGAGGGGCCGAGCGGCGCCGTGATCGACTTGGGGAGCGACGTGAGGATGTTGCCGCCAACCGTGAGGCCGACCATGGGGAAGGTCGACGTGACGTTGACAACCGGGAACATGAGGATCACAATGTGCACGCACCAGCCAAACCACGTCGGGTTGCCGGACGGGCACTTGGACCAGCCGTTGCCGCAGCCCGTGTAGTCGCTCCACATGAGACTCGCGAGCGGGTTGACGTCATCGAAAGCAAGCGCGCCAAGCAGACCGAGGAGAAAGTAGCAGAGCGCCGAGACCGTCATCGCGATGAACGTGATGGCGCGCGACTTGCCCTTGACCGACTGCTCGAGCGGCTGGAGCGCGTCGGGCATGTTGTACTGGCAGTTAAGCGCGAGCAAGGTCGGGCCAAAGCCGGCGCTAAAGTTGTGCAAGTTGAATGCCCAGTGCTCACGCGAGGCAAGGCGCGTGGTGATGGCGTCCGCGCCGTCGACGCCGAGCTTGATCGTGATCGTCACGAGCATGAGCACAAAGGCGAGGATGCGGTAGACCGAGAGGAACTTTTGGATCGTCGCCTGGTCGCCGAGGTCCATGAGCACGAGCGTGATCGAGATGACGGAGAAGACCGCCATGAAGCCGTAGTAGGCCTCGAGGCAGCCACCCGACGCGTTGGCCGCGTACGCGTCGCAAAAGTCGCCAACGACGAACGTGTGGAAGATGGACGCCATGGACGAAGCGAAGATGCTCGCGTACGACCAGAGCGACCCGAGGCAGTAGAGGACGAGGACTGTCTGCACGATCGCATAGCCCGTGCGGCCAGCAAAGATTTCGCCAATCACGGAAAAGTCAATCTTGCGGTACGTGAGGCGGTTCTCGGGCTGGGCGTCCTTGGCTGTGGACATGACGCCTTCGGCGCGCGCCATGGCTTCGATGGTGTAGTTCATCGTGATGAGCGCGGCGATGAAGCCGAGGATGAGGAAGATGGACGTGAGGCCGATGCCAGCAACCGAGAAGGCGTACGGGAGGCCGAAGCAGCCCGTGCCGATCATGTAGTTGAGCGTCATGGCGACAGCGACAACGGGGCCGTACGTCTTGACGCCCATGGCCGACGCATCGAGAGGGTTGAGCGTCTGGCAGCTCGCGCCCTTGGTAAGCGGCGCTTCCATCGTCCTTCTGTGACTCGGGCGCAACTGTGTAAATGGGCTCCAGTTGCCATCGCCAGCTTCACCGACTCGGCAAAGTCCGACGCACGCGACGAGGTTTAAAACACCCAACCGTTTTTATTCCACGGCCACCAGAGTGGGCCAAAGAGCGCGGGCAGATGCGGCCATCGTGGGCCGACGCAGAAACCTGGCCGCGACAAACCCTGCCAGATTGATTCGCTGGGTAGCAAGCACCTTATCTTCGAAGGAGGTCCTTCTATGACCTAGCGATGATATAGAAAGGCTGTTGATACCCATTTTTCCGGTGCTCGTGACGTTGAACCCGCGTACGTAGATTTGTATGCTGCTAAAGAAGGGTCGCTGATGCATCCTTTGAATGCACGCGCTGGCTCACGCCCTTGTGTCGGTGCTGCAGCCATGCGAGGTACCCGTGCTACCTAGGGCGCGTGTTTTAAGCCTATCAAGCACGGGGCCTGGATATCGCACCTACGAGAGTCAAATACGAGGAAGAGGACCCACAAACGCAGCTTCAAGTCCCCTTCTGGGACGGCGCTGGATCCTGTGGCCACAAAAGCTCCGTGCAGCCTGCGATGAGCGATACATCTTTCGGTCGCATTGCATAGCAATAGCAGGAGGCTGGACACGCGACTTTCGACTCGGTGCAGCAGCAGCCGTCGGCGATAAAGACAGGTGGAGCGGACGCTTCGAAAGCCCACGGGCTGTCTGCCTCTTCGCATCCACGTTTCCAAAAGCGAATGCAGGTGACAACGTACTCGGGTGTGTTGAAGGGAAAGAAGCCGCGCTGCCCGGGTTTTCTTGTGCCGCTGCAGTGATGGCACACACGGGGAATCGACTTGCAGAGTCATTTATTGACGGCAAGATTCAGAGACGTAGGTCGTGCGTTAGTCGTCGATAAATTGCTCGCGCAGGTGCTGCAGTCGGCGGCGCAACACTACCATTGTAATATAAGCTCGACACGCAATCTGTACAAGAGATGGAGACGAACCGCCGTCGTCCAACTTAGAATCACGGAGCGCCATGAGGCGATGCAGCAATTTGTTGTTGAGGTTCTTGTTGCGGTGATCGACGACGAGGTTCATGTCGACGTCTTGGGTCGAGAGCATGGTTTCTTGAAGAGCCTCGGCATCACGCACCGTCGAGGCTGGGATCCCGCAAATCTTGGCCATTTGGATGCCGTAGCCATGGCTGCGATCGGACGGACCGTCGCTCAGCTTGTACTTGAAGTCGAGCAGGTTCTACGTGCTACTTTAGCACCAACGTTGGCTGCACCTGGGTACCGTCGAGGTATTGGTGGCTTGCAAATGAAAGTTGCGGCAGTTGGCATACATTGTAGAGAGCTCGCGCAGGCCGTGGAAGTGGGTTGCAAAGCACGTGTACGCTTTGGTTTGCATCAGCGTCTCGCATGCGCTCCAGGCGATGGCGAGTCCTTCTTCGTTCGAAGTGCCACGGCCAAGCTCGTCCATGAGGATCAAGGACCGCGCCGTAAGGTTGTCCAAGATGAAGGCCAGCTCCAGCATTTCGACTGTGAACGTGCTCGCGTTTTCTTCCATATCGTCCGAGGTGCCAAAGCGCGTGAAGATGCGTGTCCGAAGCGGGATGCGGGCTTCCGTCGCAGGTACGAAGCAGCCCATGTGAGCCAAAAGCGTGATGATGGCCGTTGTCTTGAGATACGTTGACTTGCCAGAGCAGTTGGGACCCGTAATGACTAGCAATACACTACATGAAGCGCATGGCTTTGCCGTTGATACACACCATTGAAGTTGGTCACCGGATCGAGAAACTATAGAAAGCAATGGTGACAACCAACAAAAGATGAAAGCCACGTACGACGTCGTTGGGGACAAATGGACGATCCTGGACGACTTGCTCAATAAGCGGATGCCGCCCCTTCTTGATGACTAAATTGCCGTCCGGACACATTTGTGGGCGGCAGTCTAAATACCGGTAGGAGTCGTGTCGTTGAACCGACAGAACTAGGTATGCATCACGTACATGGCTGGTCGACTGGCGAGAGGGCGACGAGGTTGGTAAAGCTAGCATAATGTGAGATGATGGACAAAGGGTACGTTTGAACCTGAGTAGCATGTCAAGCAACGCGACGCTTTCGACCATCGCGTACAAATTACACACGAATGGCCGGATCTCGTCCAGAAGTGCGTTGATGACACCGTAGGACAGCTGGTAGATGTCGTTCATGCACTCCTTTGTGCGAGAATTGAGCGAGCTGATGTCTTTTGTGGTGCACGCCAAGGCTACAATAGCAATTAAAACCACGGAATTTCGCGAGGCGGGGTCATGCATTTGCTGAATTTGACCCGTTGCTCAAAGATTTGGGGAATGTCGCGAGCGCCACCGTTGGGAATGAGCAAGTGGTAGCCCCGGCCGACGCTGCGTAGAGTGGGAATCCATTCAAATTCACATAGCAATCATATCGTACCTGAAGTGGAGCTTGATGGCAATTCCGAAGCGATCTTGGTACTCCTCCACTCGTTCGTTGATGCTGTCGATCGTGCTGAGGTAGGTTGCCCGAGCGACGTCAAGTTTGCCGTCAATGCCCGCTTTGACGGCAAGACTGCCATTGATCTTCATGTGCCGCACGGATCGGTTCCATTGCGAGCTAGACCGATGTGCAAGAGACTGGTGCGATCACGATCATCCTACTTTGGGTCGATCACTCGGTCGATGCTCTCCTGGATCGCGATAAATTCGTCGCATTGCAGGCTAATTGGTGTGGATTGAGAAACACCTTTGCATATATCAGGTTGCTCACCTGACAATAATGCTCTGAAGGAGCTTGACTGGCTCGTCCATGTGGCTTGTAGCATTCGAGAGGCACTCGTGGAGCTGGGGTAACAACTCCAGCGTGCTCTTGAGAGCGACAACATTGATGACGCCTTGCTGGGATGTTCGCGCCGTAATCACTTTTGGCACCATCACCAGCTGCGACTGCAAAATACGGAAAATAAGCCTCGGGTACATCAATAACGAAAGCAACCAGCATTTTGTCGAGATCGGCGAAGTCTGGTAGAATTTCCAGAACGTCGAAAAAGAGTGAAGGGTAGTTGAGGAAGACATCGACGACGTCTTGGCGTGCTTGGCTACACAACAAAGTGTTGAATCATACCGGTATTTGCTTTTAGAGCATAGTACATGGTCTCCAGTGCGCAGCTTGGACGCAAGATCTACGCATGCATGTCTTGGTGCTGCGTCGCAAGGCATCGGACAATTACCGTTTGGCGCAGCAAGCGTCGACCAATGGACGTACGCGTATTGTCAATTTTGGCAACCAGCGACTAAAGGTACCATGTCTCCACGCAGCTGCGGCGCAATGCAATTCTTACGTGCTGGATTGAGCCGTTGCGCGCTCCGCGTGTGATTTCCAGGGCCGCGATTGTCGCATAGTCCATGAGGAGCACTGGGCTTGCCATCGTGAGCACGACCTATGCCATCAATTGGTACACAGAAGGTTCAAAGCTTGTGACCTTGATGGTCTTTTGCGCGATATAGACGCCTTGTATGAACTCGATGTACTTCATCAAGCACGCCACTGCGCCCATGACGACGTGATTCTACTCAAGACCGATTACCATCGGACGTCCGTGCAATGGTTGTTGTACCTTGAGAAGGCTCGTGTCGAACGCGTTGACGGCGACGCGCTTGAGATCTTCGGCCCCTTTCGACTGACTACCGAGGTAACGTGTGAAGAAGCAGTCTCGGGTGGTATCTTTCCATGTCGTACTCGTAGTACTTGCGTGCGATCGCAACGATCCGGGTCGTTGAGTTCTTGAAGCGCTTCTTCACCTCGAGATGGAGTTGTCGCGGAGTCCCCGCGTCCACCATGAGGATTTCCACGGGCTATACATGATGGATGAGGATTCGTCGAAGGAGCTGATCGGACCTGGTAGCTCTCAAGGAGCGAGATCGTCTCCACAAAGCTCCTCGAGTCGACCATGCTGGATACGAGCATCTCATGGGGCATGTGGAGGTCGAGGCAGCAGAGCGCGACCTCGCGGTTCCGGCCCTCGGCGATCACCGTGATGCAGTGGCTTCGTCGGGCGTTGGCCGTCGTCGCGCGCGGAGTCTTCCCCCGCGCCCCCATCATCGGCGTCTCCAGCGCTGCTTGCTTCTGCCCCGTCGCCCCGCGGAAGCGCTTGGGTCCGTCCATCGTCCTCGTGTGCTAGGGCTCGGCAAATGGCGAATGCTGAACGCCGATCTTTTTATCCGGTCGTCCGGATAAAAATGGCGCGCAAGTTTCATCCGGATGATTCCGGACCTTGCAGGGGCAACAGGCAACGAGCTGCCTTGTCGCCTCGCACACACATGCAGCAGGCTTGCATGCTTTGTGAGAAGGTCACGATGCACATGTTATAACACATCCCTGCCGCTCGGCTGCCATTCTCCACTGCGCCTACGTGAACCCGACCTTCAACTCGCTTTGCGGAGCGAATTTGAATCGCTACGAGACGTCGTGACGATATCCGTCCAAGAAACATGAACAATGCAAGTGCATCGACCCGGCAAAGCAGCCGCAATGCATTGATCTGTCGTCCCAGCACCTTAATTACGCGGTGTTGCAGTCGTCGTACTACAAGCAGTCGATCAACTAACGGGCAGATCCCACTCCCAGCATTGGACCAATCACGTGTTTTCTGGATCCCATTCCATCGTTTGATTGGCTGCCTCTCTGGATTTCGTGGCACACTCTCATTATGCACTTGCCAAAATTGCTCGCGAGCCGCATGCAGGCCAAGCTCGTCGACTTTCTCAACGCGCTCCAAGTGGCGCGGGAGGCCAAGGCGACGCGCGACGCCATGGCTGCAGCGGCGAAGGACTACGTCATGGACGACGAGTCGATGGCGCCGCAGAGCTTTGCGGTGGCACTGCAGCATATTGACTGCAAGATGTCGGCGTACGACGTGGTCGAGCACTGCAGGCGCGCCGGCGTCGCCGACATTGAGCAATGCATCATCACAACACCGTATCCCGACTCGCCATACAACACAACGGCGATCGTGTCGGTCTCGTCCCGTGCAAGCCACAAGCAGCTACTTGGACTCAACAAGACACCATGTCGGGGCCGCACCTTGAAGGCGCGCGACTACAAGACGCCTCGCTCCACGGACCGCGAGCTCTCTCAGCGCTTTGACGGCGTGAGCCTGCACGTTGTGCCGTCTCGGGACTGTTCCGACACGGTGCCGCCGCGCTTCAGTGCAATGCAGGCCGTCACGTTGGTGTGCACAGTCCACCCCAAGGTCGCATTCGCCGTCGAGTTCCTAGGCAAGTACCGCGTCGTGTTTACGTCCCTCGACGTTGCGGCGGTCAGCGTCGGCTCGGACGACCGCGGGTTCTGCGTCGTCTGGTTCGAGTTGCACCAGCCACCGCTCGTGTACGAATCGGCGCCTTTGCGCCCCGTGGCCGCCACGTCGTTCCTTGAGAAGCTCCAGCGCGACAGAACGCGATGGCCGTCGTCCGCAGCACCCATCGTCGAGTGGGTGCGCTGCGTCGACCCGAGTCCGAGCAAGGCGCTGGGTGCGTACCGCAACTACCAAGTCACGCTGCGCGAGGTGTTTCGGGATGACATGCACGCGCTCCTCGGTCGTCTCGGCCTCGAGCGCGTCCTTCTCGTGGCTGGGATGCAGCGACGCCTCCAGCCTGCGCTCGACGGGTATACGCGGCCCGACTCGGACTGGAGCGGCGGCTACGACCACATGTTTACAGGCCTCTCGTACGCCCGGCGGTACGCGCTGCATGTGCTCGTGAGCCAGCACGCGATCGTGTTTACCCATGCCCGCCAAGTGCAGTCGCTTGTGACCAAGATGCACGCGTCGACGATCTCGGCCGATGCGTTGTTGCGGCTCGTGCAGTGGAAGTCGCGCCGATCACTGACGTGGCACAAGCTCCTCGACGCGCTCGAGCACCCGCCCGAGGCGCCTTTTGAAGCTCCGCCGGGCTACGTGCGCATCCAGCGGGTGCGCGTCACGCCACTGCGCATCCTCGTCGACGCGCCGGACGTCGACATCTCGAACCGCGTCCTGCGCCTCTACCCGCACGCCATCGATCGTTTTGTGCGCGTCACGTTTCTCGACGAAGACTTTGCGTCCGTCCACCGTGTCAAGCAATCGCCCAGCATCCTGCGGCGCATCGAGCAGATCATCTCGGACGGCTTTTACATTGCCGGCGAGCACGTCGTCTTTCTCGGGTACTCGAACGCGCAGCTCCGGAGCCACGGCTGCTGGTTCTACCGCCCCCGACCTCGTTTGCCGACGGCGCGCCGACGCTGGCCGAGATTTACACGTGCCTTGGCGACTTTGGAGCGATTCCGACCGCCGGGAAGCGCGGCGCGCGCCTCGGCCAAGCCTTCTCGGGGACGACTCTCGCGCTGCGTGTGCCGTCGACGCAGTGCCGCGTTCTGGCCGATGTGACACGCAACGGCTTTTGCTTCTCGGACGGCGTCGGCACGATCTCGCCCGCGCTGGCGAAGCTCGTGGCCGATGAGCTTCAATGGCCGTACGTGCCGTCGGCCTTTCAGATCCGGTACGGCGGCTACAAAGGCGTCGTGGCTCTGGACCCGACGCTCTTGGAAGCGTCGCTCGGGCTACGCCGCAGCATGCGCAAGTTTGAGTCCGACTTGGACGACCTCGAGATCTGCCGCCCGGCGTTTGCGTCGCCGTGCTACTTGAATCGACAGCTCATCAACGTGCTCGCGTCGCGCGGCGTGCCGGACGCCGTGTTTTTGCACCTGACCAAGAAGATGCTGCAGGTCCTCGACACGTGCCTCGACTCGACCGAGATGGCCAAGAGCTTTGTCTACTTCCACGACCCCACGAGCCTCGCAGCGACGCTTTTGGCCGCGGGCGCAACGCTGGAAGACCGCCATCTCTTTGAGTGGGTCGATGCGATCCGTCGCCGCCTCTTGCTGGACGTGCAGCGCAAAGCCCGCATCTACGTCGAGTGTGGCACGATGCTCATGGGCGTCTTGGACGAGTCGGGCACCTTGCCTCCCGACTGCGTTTTTTTCCAGACGCGCGGAAAGCGCCCGCCGCCGAATGCGATCATCGCCGTCGGTCGGTGTCCGTGTCTGCACCCGGGCGACATTCGCCGGCTCACGTACGTCGACGTGCCGGCGCTGCACCATCTACACGACGTCGTTGTCTTCTCGTCGCACGGCGACCGCCCGACGCCCGACACGATGGCGGGCGGCGACCTCGACGGCGACGTGTACTTTTGCATCTGGGATGCCCACCTCGTGCCACATGACGAGGTTGCTCCCATGACGCGGCCCGTCTCGACACCGCCGCCACGCGTCACGACGCCGTCCATGGAGGTATGTACGATCCTCCACTGCACGCAACCATACGATATGAGCAATATGGACAGGTGGTCGGGGCCTTTTACCTCCAGTACCTGCGCCACGACAACCTTGGCACCGTGGCCAATCTGCACATGGTGCTCTGCGACAAGAGCGTCGACGGCGCCGCCGATGCGCTTGCGATCGAGATGGCGCACGCCCACGCGATTGCGGTCGACTATGCGAAAACGGGCGTCGCGGCGCGCCTCCCGTCGCACCCGCCGCTGGAGACGTACCCGGACTTTCTCGAGAAAACCGACAAGCCGTCGTACATGTCGACGTCGGTGCTCGGGCAGCTGTACCGGGACACGTCGGCCGTCCGCCTCCAGCCGCCGCCGTACCGCGAGCTTTGCATGGACAGTCGCCTCCTCGCGCCGGGCTACGAGCGCTACCTCCACGATGCCCACGCCGACTTTCTCGACTTTTCCGCCGCGTTCCACGACGTTGCGACGCGCTTTGAGGTCGGCTCCGAGATGGAGCTTCTTGTCTCGGGCCACGCACGTCGGAAGCGGTCGGCCGACGTCGCCGAGCGCCTCACGACGGCAGTCCACTGCGTGCTCGATGCGTTCGCCGAGACGTTTTGGGCCGACTTTGCCGACGACGTGCCCCGTGATCATGTGCATGTGCTGCAAAAGGCCTCGGCCTGGTACCACTGCGCGTACACGTACCGCTGGCCGCACGGCGAGCCGCCGTACCTCAGCTTTGCGTGGATCGCGATCGAGCCCATGTGCATTCTGCTCCACCGACGCGCTGCCGCCTCGTCAATCTTGTAATGTGTATCATCTTTGGTTTTGGTCTTCTCGAAGGGTTAGGTCACCGTCCGGACTTTGGCTGTACAGAGAGACGCCTTAGGCGTCCTTGTCGTCGCTCGAGGTCGGCGACGTCTGGTTTGGAACAAAGCGCTGGCGCTGTCGACGCAGGAACTCGTGGAAGGCCTACGTCCCGATCGCGTCACCCATATTTCGAAGGTGCAGGCACGCACCTCGGTCGCAAACACTTGGCGAAAGAAGTCGCGGCAGCCCATTTCCATGTGCCTACGCCAAAGGATCCAGTGACTCGATGGAAGGATGGAGAGCACTGTACGCGTCCAGAAAGCCTTCGGCGTCAAAGGCGAGAAACTGGTCATAGAACGGCGCGTCGGGCTGGTTGTGCCGCACATGCTGCAGCGCGGGCTTGTGCTTGCCGAGGTCGATGGTGTTGGGGATCGTCGCCAAGTGCTGCGTGACCGACCCAAAGAGACTCGTGAGAAATCCAAGAAAGCAGACGCAGAGGGCGTCCGACGCCTTGACGTCCGGCAGCGACGATGGCGACACCACGTCGGCGACGGCCGCGCCGACACTTGGTGGCGGCGTAAAGAGGTACGTGTCGGCGTTTGCGAGCTGCGGGTGCTGCACGGCGCGAAGGGCGAGCTCGAGACGGCGAACTTTGGCCACTAGCAACAGGGACACCATAGAGGCATAAGTGCACGCATGGATGGCGCGTACGAGGCAGCTCGGGCAAGTCTTGTTTGAACGGCGTGTACACTTCGTCGTGGTCGAGGTCGACAAGGACCGTGCGCGTCGCGTAGAGCTCGCTGGGGTACGTGAACGACTCGTCCGGCGTCTTGAGCACGACGTTGGCGCGCTGGAGGTTGCTCAAGCTGCTACCTACTCGCCACATTGTGTCAGGCGGCGGTCTTCGGCGCGAGGCGGCGCACGGATGCGGTGCGTGTGGCTCTCGGCTCGGCGCAGATGGATCGCAGCTTCGAGACCAATCAAGAGGGGACCTTCGTGCTTGAGCTGCGCGGCGACGTTGGTCGGGCAGAAGGGCAAGTACGTGTGCTACAGAGGATCCATGTGAGACACGAGGTCGTGGCGTCCGACCTTGAAGCGGAACGGAGCAAAGAGGCGGAGAAGCGACTCGGCGCCGGTAAAGAGCGTGTCGCGTTGGCGCGCGATCAAGATGACGCGGTGCTCGACGAGGAGCGCCGTCAGTGCCAGCACAATGTTCTGCGTCAGTAGTATCAACGTGTAGCACCGACGTACCTGGACGTTGAGGTCGCGGAAGAGGGCGCTCGGGACGTCGTCCGCCGCTTGGGCGGGGGCGAGCTGCATGTGGAGCGTAAAGGCGCGGTACGGAGGCTGGAGTACGATCTCGCGCTGGCGTTGCTGCGCTTCGTGGTACTGCCGATGGGCGTCTTCGACGGCTTTGACCCACACGGACGCATCGTTCGTGTCCTATCCACCCGATCATCATCTCCTCTTGATACGCTGATAGAAAGCAAACATACGTGCGGAATGGACGGCAACGACGCTTGGAGAAACGGCGCGAGGTGCCAAAACGAAGTCGACGTGAGCACACACGTGAACGTCGGGAGGAACACGAGCTGGTCCGGATCGATCGTCTTGTTGACGGTCCACGTCGTAAAGCAGAGGCCGTACCGCGTGCCCGTCGGCGTCGGGACCGCAAAGGCGTGCACGCGGGGCGCTTCGGAACCGCTTCGGCGCGGCCGCAAGACGACCGGAAGGCGGTCGCGCACGAGGCAGAATTGCTACCATCCCATCACTAGTGAGTGACCTCGTGGATACGATGTCGCGTACCTTGATGTCGTCGTGGCCGTCGTCGGCGCCGCAGCAGAGATAGTATTCGTACTGGAACGCCGTCTCGCCAAGCGTGGCATAGAACGTCGTGCTTGTCGTCTGGGCGGGCGCGACGCCGACGCCAAAGACCACCACGTGGAGGTCGAGGAGCGCGTCCGTCGCGCACACGACGGCGTACTCGGTCGCATGGAGCGTGCTCTCGATGCAAAAGCCCTTGGGCAACGCACACGGCTCGTCTACGGACGGCGGCGAGAGCGGCAGCAGCAGCACGTGTTTAGCGTCGCGCTTGGGTGCACACGCTTTTCGGCAGAGGACGTCGTCGTCGAGCCACGCGAGCTCGACGAGGAGCTGGATGCAGTGCAGCGAATTTTTGAAATTGGGAAAAATCTTGGCGCTGAGCCATTTGAGCACTTGGTCTTGCGCGCCTTTGAAGAGCGTCACGTAGCGCTGCGGTGAGAACGGCTCGCCTTGGTACATGAGAATGCGCGAGAGCACGTCCTTCTTCGTGTCGTCCGAGACGATCGACGCGTTGTTCTCGGCCAAGTAGACGTTAAAGAGGCGGCGGACGGTCACCTGAATCTCCTCAAAGAGGCTCAACGAGAACGTCATGGATGGCGACACAAGCGGCGCGAACGTCGTCTGCACGTCGACATAGAAGAGGAGGTTGGTCACGCCACTTGGGTTGAACTCGAGAAGCCACTGCTCGAGAAACCGGAGCTTGACGGGATTGCACTCGCCGAGTACGTCGTGCAAGGATAGCGGGTAGCGCTCGCGAATCGCATTGCAAAAGTCGCCAAACATGTCGCTCCCAAAGAAGGTTGACCACTCGAGCGTCGCCTTGATGCGCTTGTCGAGCTCGTGCCACATGTCGAGCGTCGTCGTCCGCTGGTCGACCGCGTCGAGGAGCGTCGTGAGCAGACCGCCGTCGAGGCAGATGGCCAGGCGCGCATCCGGTGGCATCAAGTGGCTGCGCACCATGGCCTCGGCCTGCCCGCGATCCCATGAGGCCATGCTTCGAATCGGACGGTGGTACCTGCTCTTGGCGCTTGGCCGCGTCGGGCTGCCGCTTGTACTTGTAGATGTCGGCGATGACGTTGTAGACGGCCTCGAGCCCATGCTGGCAAAGGTACATGTACAGGATGCGATCATGCGGCGACCCGAGAAGCGCGTCGAGCGAGAGGTGCAGGTCCTCGCCGCTGTGCGTCTTCACCGTTTCCATGATCGCCGATCGAAAATATGCAATTCCGTCCCTGACATACTGGCTAATCGCACGCCGCAATCCCATGTTCAACAACCCAAAGGTACAAAAAAGGATGAAAAAATGCATGCGGTTGTGAAAGGTATGAGGTGTCTACTTGGTATGCAGCGTCGTCTTGCGCTTGAGGAGCTGGAACGCGTAGCGCTTGGCCTCCATCGCGTCGCAGCGCTGCTGCTGCGTGTAGAGGCACGAAAACACCTTGAGACCGGCGTCGTACGGGTTGATGTACGCGCGCTTCTCGTCCTTCTCGCGCAGCGCCGCGGTCATGGCCATGAGCCGCCCAAACGCATACCGCAGCTGTTCGTCTGGACTCATGTCGGCCAGCTTTCCCTGCCGCATCGTCGTCACGACGAGCGACTTGTGCGCCGTCTCGCGCTTGTAGTCCTTCTGGAGGTACTTGGCGATCGCAGGCGTCACCGGCACGAAGCTCTGGTTGAGCTCCTGCCACCTACACGTGCGTGCTCAGCCACGTGCGACTCTTGGTCTTGATCATCGTACCAGGAAAAGTACAGGACGATCGTGGCCGCCATGAGGAGCGCCATGGCCAGAAACTGCTCGCGCTGGCCGACTTCGAGGATGACAAAGAGAACACACGCCTACACATGCAAGGTGAGCGCCGAGAGCACACAAGAAAAACCGACCTCGAAGATGAGGAGGCACACAAACACAATGTTGTAAGCCGAGCGCGCGACGTCGCCGCGCCCCGAGCTCCGCGGGTGCACGTAGATCAGGTTGTACTTCATCGTGTAAAACTTCATGTAAAAGTAGAGCGCGCCAAACGGCGTCAGGAGCGGCGAGAGCACAATACCGAGGAGGGCGACCATAAAGACGCTATGTCGAACGCGCGTCAATCGACTGGACCGCTGTACAGTTGGTACCTGAGCACGATCGAGTAGTCGTAGCCGTAGTAGAAAGGCCACGGCAAATCGGCTGCCTTCATTTCGGCGGCCGTGATCGCGCGGGCCTTGAGCCTACGATATCGTCGTTGACACAAATAGCGACCAACGATCGAGGCGACAGCGTACCACGGCTGGTAGACGAGGCGCTCGCCAATGCGCAGCAGTTGGAAGATCGAGCCGAGAAAGGCCCTACATCAAGTAGTCGAACGACGACACGAGACGACGACGAGAACGCTACCGCTGGCAGACGTAGGCGATGAAAAAGTTGCGGCACAGTTGAAACATAAACTTCTCGACGTACGCGACTTCGGACCCGCGGTCAAAGCCCCCTTGGCCGTTCGCCAAGTAGACCGCCGTGACGCCAATCGACGGCAGGATGATCGAGCTCTACGGCGTATATGTTCAATTTGTAGATCTGTCATCTCAGGACGTGCGAGGAGGAGGTAGGCAAAGCCCTTGCGCAGAAAACTGCGCTGGCGCTCCGACTCGGAGAGCCATGGCTCAAAGAAGGACGTGTAAAAGAGACACGTGAGCAAGCACCAGTTGACAATGATCTACCTCATCGTCGGTAAGGAGAGCGAGGATGGAGACGACGTACGAGCATGAGCGAGGGCAAGTACGCGGTAATAAACTTGGTCACGACGTTGTCGACTTCGCGCGTAAAGAGCTTGTACACGGGGCTGTCGTTGTCGAGGTTGACGTAGATGAGGACGGCGGTCGGCGTGGAAAACACCACGAGGATGAACAGCGTCGTGCACTGGTAAAAGATAAACTTGAGAAAGCGCTTGATGGACCGCGGCTGGTACGTCTACATCGATGCGCCATGTCGCCAAGAATCCGAGCACCATGCGACGGTACCAGATTGGTCCAGTTGACGTCTTGTGGCTCGGGCGCGTTCTGCACGACGAGGGGCTTGAGGACACTCAAATCTTGCGGCTCGGCGTTCTCTTCGAGCTCGAGCAAGTCGCGCTGCGAGATTTGCGGCCAGTGGAGCATCTTCTTGGAGCGCTTCGCCTTGGCCACGAGCTCGAGGAACCGACCTTTGGCCTCGGTCTAAACACACACCACGCTAGTTGACGAGCCCGACCGAAGACGTACACTGCGAAAGACGACGAACGCTGCGCCCGTGCCCCGCCGCTGGGCGTAGAGCTCCAGGACATGCTAAAAAGCCACTTGAATCAACGGCGACAACGAAGGGCGGACCTTAGGGAACGAGTTGAGGCGGTCTCGAATCGCTTCGGCGCGCTGGCGGTCGCGCGGCAAGGCAAGCTCCAGAATGCGCCCAATGTCCCGGTCGCCACTGTGGTTGGGCGAGTACTCGATGGCGTTTCGCCCGCCCGAGCGCGCGCAGCACAGCGCTTTGCACGGAAGGCACTGCGTGTACGAGCGAAAGACGTTCGGGATCGACGGGCAGCAAAACGACCCGGGGCACCAGAGCATGAAGCTCGGGAGCGTCCCGGATTGCTGCTTGGCATACGTTTGCAAGAGACGGTTGTACTCGCTACGCAGCGCGACACGCTCGTCCAAAATGCGGTAGAGTGCCTGGAGGTCATGGACGGCGACCGCGGTCTTGATATCGTCCACAGGAAAGAAGGTTGCGAGCTGCCGCTTGAGCTGGTAGCTGCTCCACTCTTTCGGAAGGCCGGCGTGGATGAGGATGCTGCGTGCGCCGAGCATGCGCGTGGCGTCGACGTGCAAGCGGCGCCCAACAGCATTTTGCCTAGTGCGATACATTCATGCAGCCAATTGTAGTAGCCTGTAATACCGCTTGAGAAGAAAATGATGAGCGCTGCGGTGACATAGCACATGGCGACGTGGCCCCAGTACCACGGACTCTGAAGCGGCACATTGCCGATCGTCGTCTGCTGAAACGCGACGATGCTGCCGTCGCGGCTGTCGCGGCCCGAGACATAGTGCTACACACAACGCGTTCCACGATGCGAATATAAGGGAGGGTCGTACGATGGGCATGAGGACGCCGATGCTGAGGACGCTCATGATGGCGAAGAAATGGGCCATGTCCTTTTGCAGATGCATGCTCAGCGCGGCGTCGACGCCAGCAATGTCGACGACGTCTTTGCTGTCGCAGGGCAGCGAGAAGAAGCGCTGGAGGCGCTCGCAGACCGTCGGCGCACAGATCGACGCGTACTTGTCCTGAAACTTGATAGACGTCAAGCCTTCGTAGTTGAACTTTTCAAAAAGGCCTTCGCGGTGGGCGTTCCAGAAGGGCACTGCGAGATGCGGCCAGACGCGGCGAAAGAGGAAGAGAAGAAAACCCGCGCCGAAGACGGCAACGTTGAGCTGCACTTGGAACCAGATGCCTTCCCAGCCGTCGTTGGCGTTGAGCACGAGGATCACCGACTCGTCGTGGTTGGTCTCGTAGCTCGGGCCTTCCGCGAGATGGTACTGGATGTAGTAGCGACCTTCGCCGTGGCCCACAATGTTGAAGGCCGATGCATTCGCGCCTGGTATCGCCGTATTAGACGATAGAATCGATGGACGAAAGGTACCGGCAGCGATGCGCACGGGGTTGGGCGTAATGACGGGGAAGCTACCGGCGCCGGCGCCTCCACGGCTCGTAAGGATCATCTTGACCAGAAGGTCGGAGGCAGGCGGCGGGTCGCAGGAGATACCCGTCGTGATGTTGCCGCCGACGACGAGCACGAGGCTGCCTGACGGAAACTTGAGCTTGCCGACGTCCGCGAGCGCGGCTAGCGCCGTCCACGCGACCAGAGCAAGGCGCAGGAGCAGCATCCGTCCGTCCCTGCCTGCGAGCGATTGTGTTGCGTTCAAAAAGTCACAACCCCGATACGCACTTGATCGAAATCATCTCTGTATTTGTATACAGCTCGGTAAAGTACGGTTTGCACTTGGCGACGACCCTGTGCAAGCGAGTCGATCTTTCACGGATCCAGCGCTGGTCCTATTACCTCTCTCTCTGCCCAGCGCTTGTGCTCTATACTATATCACTGCGCTTTGTGGTTTTCTCGTTCTGAATTTGTTGCTAAACTATTCTACCGAAACGTGATTTTAACCACCAGAACGGGCCACAACTTGACGACAGACAGTCGGGCACTATGACGCTATGGACTGAGGCGAAGCATACAGTGGCCAGACAATGGCATTTTTGCTAAAGATGAAAGCTGCTTTCACCTTCAACTTAAATCCTGGCATGAGCGCGTGCGCTCGCAACGTACCATAGCTTGATGCGCCTCCTTGCACGAGTCGACCAAGCCGCTAGTCCATGATGTTACTATGAACGGTTGCTAGTCAAAAGCGCCTAAACGTCGGTTTGACTCTGGAATCGTGACAATCCGAATCAAAATGAGACTCCAAACGTGTCCTCGTCAATCTCGCTGCGCTACATAACGTGACATGTTGCCTTTTGACTACAACACAAGCAATGGCATCAAAACGTGCAATTGTACGGAGCTCGCAGATAGTATGCATGGCACTGTCGTCAGCAGAGCTAGTCAGCAGTGTCCAATGCCACGTCCTATGTCCCATGGCCAATAGTTTTCAATGCGTTACGTGGTATTCTATCCACAAACAAGTCCTCAATTTCGAAAGTTCGCGATGCCTCTAGGGTTGGGCTGTAAAATCTTTGCTCGTTTCTTACAATGGCCCGGCAAGGGCTGGCTGGCTCGGCAGTGTCGACGAACGGCGGTAACAGCCGATTCCAGCAGCCGGTCGCCATGACGATGTGAAGATGCCACGATGTAGCCTTACCACCAGCCTCGCTGTGTCCAACGCGCCATGTCGTGCGTGCGATCGACGACATCGCCCTATATACATTTTCTGATTACATTTTTCAGGCCGCCACTAAATATGTATTACATGCACAGTGTTATTAGCTCTTTCTGCCGAGTCTTTGCCAGCGGCTCGCATTCGACGCAGGAGTTTCTGCCTCGATTCGCATCGAGATGCGACACCCGTGGAACGGTGACAACAGCGTTTGCGACAGAAAACGTGGAAGGATCCGAGGTCGGTTGCCGTTTCGAGCCGAGGGCCCTCGGTGTACAGTACTACACGATAAAAAGTACATGCATCTAATGTTCGCACCTCCTCCGAAGTCCAAAATCGACGCCTTGCGAGCCGCCAATTTATTTGAAACAGACGACGGTTTCACCAGATGTTGTGCGTAAAGTGGGTGACGTGGTCAGCTCCGCAGCAGCAGTGTGCGATTTGTCCATCAGTACAACAACTACACCCATGGCGACTGCGCTCTTTCTCCAAAAGACGTTTGAGATGCTCAACCTCTCGCCCCCGGAGGTGGCAGCGTGGACACCGGACGGCCGCGCGTTCACGGTCTACGACCTCAAGACCTTCGAGTCGACGATGCTCGTGCGCTTTTTCCGCCACGGCCACTTTAGCAGCTTTGCGCGCCAACTGCGTTTTTATGGTTTCACCAAGTGCCGGCGCCACCAGCACGTCGAGATGGAGCCCGCGTGGGAGTTTATGCACCCCCACTTCCAGCGCGACGACCCGATGCTCATGGTGTGCATCACAAGGAGCACCAACCCGGCCATGAAAGCAAGCAACAACGCTACCATCAGCGACGTCCACGAGCTCCAACAGCGCGTCGAGACACTTGAAACCCATATAAAAGCGCTCACGACCCAGCTGGATTTGCTCACGAATCTGCTCTTAGCACGAGGTATGGCCCCTCCAACGGCGCATAATCCCGCCGAGGACACGACAAAGACCGCGCTCAGCGATTTTTTTTGTACTGACGAGTGTAGCGGACTTCAATAACAAGATCCCATCAAATTCTTGCGCCATGATGAAATGATTGGACGAGGTGTCCATCACGGAAAGATAAAAACTGGGAATATAAAACAACACACGACGTGGAGGACATTGAGTTCTTAGTTGCGCGCGACGTTGCAGACACCGGTGCAGGTCGCACCCTTGAGCTGTCCGCCGTTGGTGGTACCCGTCAGCACCTTGTACGCCTTAGGCTCGAGCTCGACGTACGCACCTTTCGTGAGCCCGACACCGGACGCTTGGAACGAAATGACGCAGGTTACCTTCTTCCCGAGGTAGCTCACGGCCATCGACTTATCGCACGACGGTGTGTAGACGTTGGCCCCCGGCGGCTTGGGTGACCCGCAAAAGAGCGTCGAGGCCGACCACCGCCCGCGGATGCCGGGGCAGTCGACGCCAACGTGGCTTTCGACAGCCAAGTTGACAAGGATCGGAACGGCCGCTTGGACGGTCGCGAGTGCGGCGGCGAGGAGAGTCAAAAGCTGCATACTGGAAATTGAAAAATGACACCACACTGCATATACTAGCAGCAACGAGCCGCCGCACGGCTCGACCCATTTCTTCTTTCTGGCCACGTGGTCGTTCGATCTCAGCGCCGTTGCTCGCTGCGATCGAACGAGTTCGAATTGCCGTGCGAAATGGGAGTACTGTTTCCAGTCGAAACTGCATCCCACCCAACGAGATTCTCGCAAGTAAGAGCCGCTCTGTGCGGCAAGGATACCGATTGTGCTAAAACCACGGACGTCCCAAGCCAAACATTCAGTCGATGATCGAGATACCCCAGCTACTCGAGGAGGTCGGAGCCTTGCTACACGCAGCACTTTTCGTACGACATGTGTTGCGATCTGCATGCGTATGGCCCACGGTCATGCAAGCAACCGTGCGGTACCGAATGCTGGAATGGGTGAACACGGGACAGCAAAGCCCACGCTGCCAAGTACCGCGCCGGCACGGGTTGTTTACACATCAAATGTCGTTGTGAAGGCCTTAAGCCGTCTTGTAGACGGAAATGTAGTGGGTGCCTTGGCTGGCGCGGCGGCTATCCTGTTTGGCGAGCCGGTCAAAGTACGACGACGATTTCGTGTCGGCGACGCCGCACTCTTTCGGAGGGTCGCCCATGTACAAGTGAAAAGACCCACTTGTCGTCTCGAGGACAGTGGCCTTCTTGAGAACGACGCCCTTGACGCCGTGCACGCGCGCGACGATCTTGAGCAGCATCTGCGCATACCACTTGTTGTCGGTCACGATCGTGAGCCGGCCGTTGGGCTTGAGCAAGCGCGCGCAGTCGGTCAAGAAGCCTTGGGTCAAGAGGTGCTTGGCTTGCGACGAGTCGCCACCGGTTTGCTGCGGCGGCTCGGGAAAGTTGATAAAAATAAAGTCCACAAGGCCCGGTGTCAAG